TTTCATTTCAGACTTCCCTCTGGGGAGGGACTACTGCGAAGATGCAGTAATGGAGATCTGAGTTGTGGAGTTACTGGTTAAAGGCCAGCAGAGACACTGGTCACTTGGACACGTTCATTCCTTTCCAGCTTTGAAAGAGTTTCACCAGGGGAGAAAAGAAAATTAAATGTGCCATAATGATTGGAAAAAATTAAAATGTTACCATATTACAGCAAAAGAAATAAGGCATGGAGCTGCTTCTGAAGAGCAACTAAAAATACAGCACTTCCACCATGCTTGTTTCCCATCACTGATACACAAGTCAGAAGGTGGCCCCTAATCCAGGCTGTTCCCATGGCTGACACTTCACGTTACTTTAGCTCATGAAGGAGCAGTAAATATCCATAAGAAAAAACAAACAGGCATAAAATCTCCTCACCTACCCTTCACTGCAATTAATTACGATGCAAATACTAATTTTCTTTTACTTGATCATTTGATCAAGAAAACCCCTGAATCTGAAAGTTATGAATGGATTTTCATGAAATTAAATTGTCTGACCATGGTATAACTCTCCATGCCATTTCTAACCTGCTCTTAAAGCAATGAAAGGAAAAAAAAAATCCCTGTAATCAATGTCTGCAGAAATGTTCACTTGTCCCATGTGCCTGGCGATGTTTTGTTAAAAAATCGTAAAATAGGAGCCTAGAAGATGTAGGGATATGCATTTGGAGCTTTTCCACAATTTTCATGGTATATCCAACTGTCTGTACATGCTATTAGCAGGTTTTTTCAGTGCATGCTATTAACCCAGTTGACTTCTTTCTGGTATCTGCACTTAGCAATACAGCAGAATAATTTGCTGTGTGGTGCTCCTGCGATAAGGATAAGAGGATTTTTTTTATCATCATTACGGATGGTAATAATTCCTAGAGTGATACAGAGATATTGATCCACTGATCTAGAAAAAGCATTTTACAAAGGTAGAGGAGCATCGCTATCCTTATTTTAAGGAATGGGATAATGGAGAGATGATGAGAGACCAACTCACCTACGGTCAATACAGCACATCAGTGGCACAGCTACAAATCAAACTTGGGTATTTCTGGCTATTTTTGCACACTCCAGCTATCATTGCATGGCCGTCTGTGTTGGCATCGGTGGTCATATAGACATTACACAGTGCTAGGAGTCAGGAGGTCTGAAAGTTTCCTTAAGCTGTTTACAATAAGTGATTTAAAATCTTAATCATCTGAGGCAGTTCACTTCTGCTTTTTCATGATAATGAAGCTTAGCACATGATATCACAATCATGAATTTTTGTAAAGCATACTTAGCCCTTCAGAAAAAGTGCTGGATTAAACAACCCTGCAGGCTGAATCCTTCTCTTTGAATAATGAATATAGTACAGGCAGTGGCAAGCTCTTTAGATATTCCCATGAACCCTGCTAAAGCGAAGGCCAGCCTCCATGTCTGTTGAGTCCCTGGTTTCTTTATCTCTACAGCCAACAGGGTATTTTTATTTTTTAATGCTTTTCACAGCTAGGAATTACTCTCTGCCAGCCAACTAATTTCACAGGGACTATCCCAGAGCCTTCAGAAGGCAATGCTGTTTGGTTGCTGCCTATTTCTTGTAGCTGGCCAGAATATAACAAGTTACAGATATAAGCAAATTATTTCTTAGATGCCAGAGCGAACAACAGTGGGGAAAAAAAAATGTCTCAAGGAAAAAAATCTCAGTTTCTTTAAAATATACTGCTCCACCACTGGAGCTTTTTATCATTATTTTAGTCTCATTTTACAGATGAGTTTCAAACAGCTGACAATAGGAATTTGGAGTAGAAACGCTGATGGTCCATTATCAGTAGTGACAGCTATGGGTGCGACTTTATTAAAGTTCTGTCAACTCTTGGCTAGAAACTACAATAGAAACAACCAGTTCAATCTCTCTCCCTCTCTCTCTTTATCTTAGCACTTATATCACACTCATCAAAAAGTGTTACATTTTCCCTTGATGCCACAGGATGGAATTTCTCCTTGCTACTGGAGCCATGTGGCACACTACAACCCTACATTCTGCCTATGGGTTGACAGCAGACTGTTACCGTACTAGCGGTAAGGTTGCTGTTGTAGTGTAGACATGGCCTAAAAGCCAACTGAAAGCTTCTTACTCTTTACTAAGCAAAACTAAGCAGCACAAACCAAAACTGTTCTACTGAGCAGTGTAACCTGGAGCTATTCCTTGCAACTATCTGCTGGTAATAAAGATTATTTGCCTGAACCCTTTAACAAAGCTTGAAAGTTGGCATAAATACCAATGATTATACTTTTCAAGCTCTTTTCATCCGAGATACCATGATGTGCACTTGTTATGCAATTGACAAGAGATGCCAAACAGAGTTTATTGGACCATATTTCCATCTCACTGCTGTGAGCACTGCGAGTTCCTGAAGGCTCTGGCATGGTGAGGACAGTGTTTTCCTAAGACAGTGAGTATTTTTCATTCACGCCTCTGTGTCTGGGAGGGAAGCACATCCGGACGGGTGCTGGGAAAACAAATACTGTTTGTGGCAAAGGGAATTAACATCTTGGAAACGGTAACATGAATTACAACTCGTTAAGTATTGGAACTTGTTACAAAGATTTAACTATATAAATTCTCCCTCTTGCTTTATTAAAGCAGCTTTTCACCCTGTGCTTTTTCAGCCAAGCTCCCTCCACTGCAAATCTCCCTTAGCACTTTTCATTTCAACTGCAATACCAACAATTTTCCCAACACTTTGCCTTCTCTCATGGAGTGGTGGTTTTCTGAAGCTGATAAACATCTGCCTGAAAACCTGGTTGTCACAGCTGAACTCATTTTCAAGTGTGAACATGGGTGTGTAGAAAGCAATTCAAGTTTAACAAGGCATGATGCATGAGGGCATGATAGAATATCAGTCGTGATTGTGACCGAAATAAACCCGAGTGGCAGAGAGGATACAGCTCTGCTACGACTACTGGTGTGTGACCTACCTGGACTGAGATCTTCAGCCTCCAGCAGGAGAGAGCAGCACATTAACTCTATGGTTCTGCTGGCCAGCAGACGACACTGCCCTGCCTGATGTGTTGGTGACATGGCTTAAAAATCTCAGCTTCTGATTATCGCGAGATTGCTATTTATGGCAGAACAAAACTACCCTACCAACCTTACTTACCCTGCTGGATTTCATAATTAGCTTTTCTATGCTTGTACTATGCCCAATGTCTGTTAAATAAAAGCAAGTACGCAGTGGGATTTCTATGAATCCCAGGAAAGATCCATTTCTTTGTTGGGTGATGCTGAGGAGTCAATTAAATCTTTTTGGGGCTCAAAACATCTGATGCCCAGATCTTGTTATCTCAGCAGTTACTTAGCTCCTTTCCCACTTGTGTCTTCCATCACCCCTTCCCTGTGCTACTTACAAAACGAAATCAGTGAGAATCAGAAATATTTGTTTTGCCTCAATGTTGGGTCTAGAAAGATAATGATAGCACTCAACTCCATCAGTTAACATTCATTACTGAGCTGCAGGAACCAACCTCAGATCTTTCCCCTAGTCTTCTCCAAGGCAAAAACCACGATCCTGAGGCTCTCCTTGCCTGAACGGATTGCTGCATCCCAGCCTCAAAAGTATTGGGATCACAGACTAAGCATGCATAAATGTAAGTGCGTAATTTTCTTGGGGCGCCCTATTGCCAGAGTGTCTTTTCAACAAGTCCTTATTATTCAGAGGTAGTATAGTAAGTGCTTTCAAGCAGTGCCATGAAATATAGGAATACCTGCAACTTCCTCTGCTGAAATTTATAGGCATTTTAAAGAAGCTGGGCTGCACACAAAACAAAAAACCCCATGCACAAATTGTTGCACAAAATACTGCGGATCCTATAGCCTACTGGAAACAAGTAGATCCAAAAGTAAAGAGAAATATCTATACCTATACCTGTATCTATATGCAAAATGGGTACTATTATTTTTTCTGTGCCTTTTGAAAATGTAATAAAATGCATAAACTGTGCTTTCTATGGTTTTTTTTTCTATAGAAATGGAAGCGATGTTTTTACAGCTCCACTTAACATTACTTTACTCCCTGTGCCGTTAAATGGCCATGGCTAGTACCACAGCATCCTTCCGCACTGACAGACGGGACTATCGCTATTTTCTTTTTCCACTCAGCACCACCTGGCACTGACTTTTTGAGAAGGTTCACGCTCCGAGAATAATTTCAGGTCCATATACCATGGAGTTAATACGCAGCCTGGGTCATCAATATACATTTATTCTTTTCAATATGTTTTCAGAGGGCCTTTCCCCAAAAGGCACTCTTGCACTCAAAAGGGATCACCAGCTATTGAAGTCTGTGCTGCACTTCATTTCCAAAGTTCAGGTCAGCCACTTGACCGCTCTCGGTGATGCTGCTTAACACCTCTGCCCTGGTTTTGGGTTGTGATAGAGGCACAAGCTTTAAAAGCTCTTTTTACAAAGTTTTGTCCAGGCAAAGCTCTCAAGTTCAAGCTAACCTCTTTGTCTCCGAGTTACAGCAGGCCTATGTTTTGCATATAGTTATAGAAAACACAGGAATGGAGGAGATAGTGCTACAACATGGGCCAGTTTCCATGACCCTGTATGCCTTCAAGCAGTCATTTACAGTCGATTTTTTTTTTTGGCCTTACGCTACAAAGCAGAAATGGGGTCAGGGAAGGATCTTTGATTTTGTGAGAGCAGAAAACTGAGGGTGTTTTCTCAGGGTGCAAAGGAACCTTTCCAGCTGACAAACAGGGAGATAACACAAGTTAATACGTTGGCACCGAGACCTTTCTGACACTGGAAATAAAAGGTGATAATTTCAGTCACTGTGAAAAGTTCATGTGGATACCTTCATCACGTGGGACATATTACAGCGTAACCTCTAGCTGCAGACAGCGGCTATGCCTACCCTGGCTGTGACATATAGCTCCCAATTAGCACTTAAGGAAAGAGACTTTACAGACTGCACACTCACCTCTGCTCAGCCCATCCGGTCCCCGAAGGATTCTGCATTCTTCTATCTGGCCGAACGGAGAAAACATCACCCTGATATCATTCTCATTACACTTCTTCGAAACCATTCCTATGAACAATTTTCTGTCTTCCACAGCTAGAAGATAAAAATAATGAATGAGCAAAGGCCATTTCGTCTTTTTCCTGTGATCAATGCTTCATTACCACATCAAACCAAGCTCCAGTCATGTGAGTCTGGCTCTGTAACTGAAGACAAGTCCTAAGGCAAACACTTTATACTTACAACCTCCCTTCCCCCCTTCCTTCCCCACCCTAAATCTCTCATTTTTCTTTCTCTCTCTCCTTTTTCTAGTGGTGCTTGCTGTTTATATACCATATTAATTGGCTGCCTTAGTCGTGCTGCATACGCCTCCCCATCACGGTTTCTAAGAGAAAAGCATCCTCTGTTAGAGAGACTTGTAAAGATACCTTTGCATAGATTTTAATTCCGATAAATTCTCTCACCTTCCTCACGTATGAAAGAAATCATGACAGGGGTGAGGGTGAAGAAGGGATTGTGCACGTAATGATATGAGCTAATGAAAAATATTCCTGAGAAATATTTTGAGAGAGAGGCTCCTATCTGAGCTTTCAATTTCAACCAACTTAATGCGTGGCACTCGAAAGGCAGATGTGTAACAACTGCTCTGGAAAGAGAATGCACTGAATTTTCCTGCTTTTTTTCAGACTGACAGAGCCCTCTCCCCTCCAAGAGGACACAAGGCATATTCCAGGGCATCGCTTTAACAAGGGGGCTGCATAATGCTTTCCCACAGCCAAACCCTTTGAGTCGTAATGAAGCCGAGTTTGCAAAAAACCATGAAAAAGGTGCTTTACCTGAACTATTAGTAGAATATTTCCTGCCTGAATTATCACCAAAATCAGCAAAAGCTAGACTGCTGCAGCAGGACACATGCAGTCCTGTTAATGAAACTCAAATTTACAGGACTAAAGCTGTGGACTCTTGTCAAAAATGAAATAGGTCATCAAAACTTAATTCACCCTGGAAAGACTTAAAAATGTTAACGCACCCTCCCATCTATATTTAACCAGAAATCTAAGTGCTTATTATACAGTATATACACCAGCGCTTTCTTCTGCTCTTGAAATGGCATGTAAATCCAATTCACTGTTAATGAGCAGACTGTCAGAGTTTGCGGGGAAGCAAAGAGAGAAGGAAAGCTTTACTCCAGAGAGTCTGCAGTGCACTTACTTATTTCTATTATTGTGCAAATTATTTTTGTAACGAAGTATTTTCATTTCTGGGCTTACAAAAAAAAAAAAAAAGAATCTTCCCTTGCTCCCCAACTCTCTCTCCTGTATTAGTATGACTTTGTAAAATGGAATAAATTGCAGCTGAGGAGGAAGAAACTGCATCTCTTTTCATAGGATTTTATTTGTGTTGTACTTCAGCACTTTAAGTGCATTTAATAATTTCAACAATAAAAAGAAGAGGTTCATGCTTATTGATCATGAGAGGTGTTTGAAGTAATTTCTTCCTTAGAATCGCTGAGTTTAAAAAGTAGTTGTGGTTTTTATACAAGCAAGCATCAAGACCGTGCATTTTTCAGAATCCAAAACAGAGACCAGCCCCTACAATCCCAGCTTCTCACTCTACAAGCTTGCAAGAAAATTGGCATGAATTTAACACCCAGGAGAAGTTTTTCTCAGCAGAGATTCCTCAAGACTCAGTATTTTCATTCACTCTTTATATTGAGGTTCCACATGCAGGTTAACGCTCCAGGAAGGGTTAACAAACGATGAATGCGTGGGATAAGCCAGTTACATACAGATCAGGAGCTGAATATGCGGGATTGCAAATAAGACCTGCAAGTCGGGATTTTTTTTTTAATATATATATATATTTATGCCTTACAATGAAACTTTACATCTGATTCATAATATATAATTGGCCTTAATGCTGCTAATAATTATTTTAAGGACAGTAAAACTGAATTGCCTTGCTCACAGCCACAAGGAGAGTCTAGTAGTCACTTTTACTGGTGAAAGGATGCCTGTAACTTGGCCGCTTACAATTCCTATATTGCCTTGAGTAATCTCTTTGAGGAAGGTCCCTGGCCAGCCCGTCCCCTCGACAACAGCCACACACTATGGCCAGGCTGCAGAAAAGGGTATGAGGCAAGGGACCCAGCTGGGCTGCCAGGTCTCCATACCACAAACCGAGGTCAGGCTGAGGGAAGTCTTGGTGCCAAGCACTGGTCCGAGCATTGCCTTCTACTCTGTGTTATGAACCTCTTAACTTCTGCCTGTGTGTCAGCTAGTACCAGCCAGTTTAAATTTGGGTTGATTTTAGGCTTGAAATACAACGTGGAGGTCTATCCTAAGGGTGACTAGATCCCAACCCTCTCTTAAAAATAGCTGCTGGTGGAGTTGGACAAATGCCTGCCACGCCATCCCAAAGGAGGTCCCCTGGGTCCTGCTTAGGTGCAAGGACAAAGACTCAAACCAAAGAGATTCGCACAGAGATTCAAAAGAAATGAGATGCAAACAGGAAGGCTTTGTTTTAATTTTCCTAAGAGTAGCAGACGACAAACTCCCCACCGGCCTTCTTCAGTTTCGCTAGTGAACCTATAAATATGCCATTTAACTAACATGATTTGCAGGTTTTCAGCTTGAGGGTGATTTTATAGTAAATTAAACATCCAGCTCCTGTGTACTGTACATCTTAAAAATGCAGATTTCACGAAGAATGCTCAGAGTACAGAAAACATATTGATATGATGACGTGCTCTGCTTTCAGTGCTATTACTCAGTGCTGATCAGTGTTGAAGCTTAAGAAAATTGCTATTCTTTTTTTGGCTGGGGGCCCGGCATAAAAAACATTTAAAGGGACAATTGTCAGGATCAAAATGACGTTTTCACTCCATCTGATGGAACATCTGATATTATTAGGCTGAAAGAGCTTTTAATGATACATTCTCACACAGAGAAAGGAATGCTTTTTCACCTCCGTAAGACTGGCTGTCTAGATTTGTTTCTGCATTTTTGGTCAGCCACTTCTTTCTTTCTAAAATGAATTCTTACCTGCCATGCAGGCATGGTTTGAGAATCAAATAGACAACGGACTGCAAGAAGTACGGGTCAAACCTATTTAGAGGTTAGCAAACTTCCCTTTTGATCAGCCAAGCCTGCTGATTTGCCTGTGTGTGTTGGGTTGCTGCCATAGACTGTAAAATGAGGAGCCCAACGTTAAACACGCATGACCCAACAAAGCGTCGAGATTGGGAAAAGCACTACCCGCTGCTGGTTGGAGAAAGGATGGCAGTCTAAAACCATCTCGCCTAACTTTAGTCACTAGAGTTTTGATGTCCAGTCTTAGTCCTAGCTAAAATGTTATGTTGTCAATGCCAAGAGATCAGCTCCTCCAAAGAGTGACTGATCCCACCTCTCCCAGCAAGATGGTATGGCTTGTTTTATGGGAGTCTCTCCCTCACCATTGACAATAGATAGGGCTGTTACCTTCCAGCCAACTCCCAAAACTTGGTCATCATGATAACACGTAGATGTCCTAAGCTCCAGTTGCAGGGACAGGAGGAGTAAGTGAGCTCTGAGGGACTGGACAAAGCTTGGGAGCTGGGACTGCTTTAGGCAATGAAAGCAGGCAGGAGAAGGCTGGGGGGAAGGATAACAGGGCCCAAGGGTCAGCACTTGTGTGCACATTGATAATTGTCTCTCCCACACTAGGAGTAGGTTTCAATAATTCAAAATCCAGAAAATTAATGAAAATTTTTTGCCGAGTGTTTGATATCATTATTTCTGGACTTTGCTCGTAGGCCTAGTTGTACTTTCTGGCTATTTTGCACCACTCTGGGGACATGAAGTAGATGCAACTGTCCGTAAGCAGCTAGTAGGATGGGGTAGCTGAGTGCCCTGTATTGGTGAAGCAGAAGCAGCCAGGTCACAGTGAGCAAGGCCTGAAGTTCTAGTTACATGAAGGAAGGTGTGAAACTGCACAGTATCTCGATTAAATATTTCTGGGATTCACCTCTAATCCATCCAAACGTATTACAAACACAAGTCAGCTATGTTGCCCAGGCAGTTCGTGCAACACATCCAGTGCTAAGCCTGCTGGATTTGGGGTCAGAATCTTTTGCCTGAACGCAGGAACCCTGCATGACGAAGTACAGATATCTGTTTTAAGATGAGATGAGGTGTTCCTGTAACTCCGTCAAGACTAGCTCTGCAGTCACTAGCATGGGTGCCTAGGTATCGTGTTGGAAGCCAGAGAGCTACGTTAGCCATCAAAAGTTATCTGAGATGCAGTCTACCTCTGCTGAGGGGGGCTTCTATCAAACCAGACCCTGCTGCCTTCTGACAGCACTACATCCAACCTGCAGAGTAACATTCTGAAGGGTCTAATTTTTTAGCTTTACTCAATTTGCTTCAGTAATGAGCATTTCTTGCAGGCTGTATTAGATCACTTGTGGTAACCCAGGAGAATAAAGGAGTAGAGATTATTTTCTGTATGCTACAAAAGAATTAAACCCTGTAATAATCATGGGAAATCTCCCTGAAGATTCAACAAACTTTCCTTTTCTCTGTTCTAAACCCCAAAAATTCTGTCCTGAAAAATCACATTTATATCCCTTTATTATACATTTTTGAGGAGTCCAGTCAGTCAAAGAGTGCATTTTCCATCCAGAAGTTGCCTTCTCTTTAGAGAAAATCAAGAAATAGTTAATTATGTATAAATTTTTTAATTTTTTATTTCATCCAGAAGGGAAGGGGGGAAAACAGATTTTTTATCCCTATTTGTAAGCCTGTGAAAAACCCTTGCATACAATCTGTCAAAGTCACACCTGGATCTGGAGCTGCCTGCATTAATTATCAACTTTTCTATGTGTTAGTGCTAACATATGGCATTTAATTACTCCCTCCAAATCGACAAAGTTATGCCACTTACAATTTCAAAATGATTTCTTCAAGTTTTCACTAATAAAATAAATAAAAATAAATTATAAGTTCACCCAGCTACACCCCCCCCCCTTTTCTTTTTAAATAGAGAATTTTGTTATTTTCCCTGAAGTGGTGATGCTTTGATCCATTTAAGAGCATACTGTCCTCAGGATATGTGCCTGAAAGTATTGACTGTATTCAAATCCTGATCCAAGGAGCATTTAAGTATTTGCTAAATTGTGGCATGTTAATGGCCACAGACAACTTAAGAGTCAAGCATGTGTTTATGTGCTTTTCAGCATTAGAGTGCAGGAACCCCCATTGTTTGAAAAAGGGAAAATATCCTTAAATGGACAAATACTGTGAGTGATTAACAGCTGAGATGAATCTAGCAATGGTAGAGCCTTCAAAGTCTTGAAACCATGCTTTTCTGGCAGGTAATCCTTAACCAAAACTTTGTAGATAGGTTAAAATAACCACCTAGCAATACAAAGGTGGTCAGACTAGACCTAATGGGTGATCAGAACAGGACACACTACAAAATTCATCATCTGAAAATCTTTCAGGGATGTTACATTTCTCAACAATAAAAGTCTTTTCAGAATCCTCCCAGGCAGACAAATTAATTAGATCTAAAGGCAAGTCTTTCCCCATCAACTTTAGCTGCTAAAAGCTCGGTGGAAGAAATTAAGCTTTGTTTCATCTGCACGAGCAGAGAGATGACTCAGACACACAAGCTACTGTACACAGGGGAGGAATGGAGATGATTGCATAGATCTATCAGCCACCCAGTTCCTACCCAGAAGAAAACAGATCTTCAGGTTGCTAATAAAGTCCTAATCCTGCGGAAGTGCCCAGGCACTTAGACAAACGTGTGCAGGAGGTGCCTCTTCCATACCCATCTCCCAGTTTCCACGAGGTGAGCTTGGCCTTTTGTGAAAAGGGACAGATTTCTGAAGTGATGCCTACATCTAAAGACAGGAACAGTGATGGGGAAGGAGGAGCATTTCATCCTGGTACTCCTGGGCTTGGATGCTCGTTCAAACCTTTTTGCAAGGGACTCAGGATGGGGAGGGGACATCTTATCACACAGCAAATACTGTTCTTTGAAAACCTCTCTAAGATGAATGAGGGGACCTCTCCTTCCTCCCTGTGGAACTTGAACAGGTCTCTCAAGACTTCACAAACGTGTGCAAGCTCAGAAGAATTGTAATGAGTGTTCAAACTCTCCTACATGTCTTTCCACAAGCTATCTGGACATTTTGACCAAAAGAATTTCTTAAACCTCTTTGAAAATTGAGAAACACCACTTTAGCTATAAAATGTAGTGGGATCTTCCCACTACTCAGAAATCAAAGGGTTTCCAGCATTCCTCAAAAGCTCAAACACCACAGATCATGAAAACCAAGATGCCTTGGCATGCTTTCTTTCTTTTCCCCTTTGAACTTATCAATCTGGTTGAAGAGGTACAGTTTACAATTTGCTGTTGACACAGATAATATACCTCCTCAGATGGATAGCCTGAAGCATATGGGAAACACGTGCCAAACAGGCCTCCGCATTCCCCATGCTGCTGTTCTTTCTCTTTTTGGCTCTCCAAGCTGCTTGCAAACTCTCACCTCCTCCACAGATCCCACGCCTATGCCCTGTCTTTCCAAGGAGCTGCACCATTGTTACCGTCATGATGGTATTAGTTTGTCTTCTGTTTCCGCAGTCATTAGAAGAGTTCACCACCCCCAGAACACGCCTACCGGAACTATCTACACCCTTCAGGAGCCTAAATTTAAAAAGGTGTTTAATTTGACAGTTGCAACCTCTGATCTGTCAATGTTTTTTTCCCCAAACTACAAAGGCAGGCAAAAAAAAAAAAAAAAGCCAATCCCTCATAATTTTCATGATAGGGATAGGTGCAAGAGAATACTCTGAAGATTATGAGTATTCCCACAGTGCAGACAGAAGTGTCATGCAGATAATCCTGGTCTAACAGCAGCAGCGAGGAGCTAACCTACCCTGCTTTCCAAGCAGGTGCTGTTTGCAGAGCAAGACAGAATTTGCACAATTCCCCATAGCACTTTGCCAATATGTTCAGTCTCCTTTAGGAAGAAAAACTCCAGGCAATGAACAAGTAACTCATTGGGAGTCTATTTTGGCCCATTGCTTCTTATTTTTCTAATTTGCCAAGGAACTTGAGGTGAAATTTATCTTTGAAAGAAGAACCCATAGAGGCTATACTTAGTTCAGAGGGTCCAGGCCAATATTCCTGTACTCAAGGGAAAATTTTGCCCACTGCAGGCACAATAAATACTAGGGAGTGGAGTTTGGATTCCAACAGCAAAATTCTCCTTGACTACAGTGGCGCTTGAAAAGTTTGGTCTTCCTGCCCATGCAGGCACCTTGGTCTCTCTTCTGAGCATTCAAAGAAAGCCACAAATCATGGCTAAAACTCAACCCAAGAGAATCATAGAATCATTGAGGTTGGAAAAGACCTCTAAGATCATCGAGTCCAACCATCCACCCAACACCACCATGCCCACTAAACCATGTCCCTAAGCGCCTCATCTACACGTCTTTTAAATACCTCCAGGGATGGTGACTCCACCACTTCCCTGGGCAGCCTGTTCCAATGTTTCACCACTCTTTCAGTAAAGAAATTTTTCCTCACATCCAATCTAAACCTCCCCTGGTGCAACTTGAGGCCATAAGAAAGGACACCTTGAGAGAGGACACCACTCCCTTACAAATGGGTGATGGCTCAAATTTCCTGTGCTTGTGGCCAGTTTTGTTTTGAAAGTTGTCATAATAGGAAAGCTAGCATAATGTGAAGTTTTAATTTCCTTCCAAACTTTATAATCCTTGGAGAAGCCTGAAAATGGGATGCACTACAATTAGCAAAAAAGAAGCCTTAAAAAAGCCTTGCGGAGAGATTTAGAGCCCAATCATAATTTACATTTGCAGGTATGTAGATCTCTAAGTGCACGGCTTCTGCCCTGATTACTAATTAATGAGGTGCAAAGATGCCTGTTGGAGGAACCAGCTCTGATTATGTGGGCCTTATGGGAAAATGAAGCTCTTGCAATCTAAAAAGGCAGATGATATCTTTAACATATATTTTAGAAAATTACAGGAACAAATCAAGGGGCAAAATATACACATGTATATATTTTTAAAGAATCACACACAGCCAGGCTGTGTTACCATCCGATTATCTTATTTCCTTGAATATACAAACCTGGCATGTTTAATAGATTTAGCATGCCGTCTATTTTGCATGTCATATACATCCACTTAGGCAGTACCCTAGTATTCTGAATGGATATTACTGTCATTATAACATTCATTTTACAATTGTTGAGAGGAATAAGTAGACAGAGAGCTGCAAGGTGGGTTTCCCAGTTCAGAACCAAGCATATGATTAAAACCTAAATTTGGCTGAGATTCAGAACAGCATCATTCTATAAAAAGGAAGTTTAGGCAAATGTTTAAGGCCCATCAGCTGCTCACATGGTTTGTTAACATGGGAATGTTTTTTGTTTCTTTACTTTTTTTTTCTTTTCACCATTAAATCTTCATCTCCATCTTATCAATAGCAGGTGTTCCTGCATCACCTCGCTGCTAGGAGAACACAAGGGAAAGATGTACGTAGCGAGGTAGACCGTGACATACAGCAAGTACAAGGAAGACCGTTTTTCAGAACATTTCCTTCCTCCTTTGAAGCTGAGGATAAATGGGAGTTCAGAGCAGGTCAACATCTTCCCTACCACGTCAGGTGTAGGGAAATTACCTCGTATCGTTTTCACCACACAAGGAGTAAAGCAAAACCTCTCGCAATGTTGTGTTTGCTTTTGTTTAGAGAGAGTCACAATTAAGTAAAAATAAATGAAACACATACCATTTGACTTTTCACTGTCTGCGGGTTTCATCTGAATAGGATGATGCATCTAAAAACAAAAATGAAAGAGAGTAAGGCAGGTTGGATAGTCATAAAAATCAAGAATCATGTTTTTAATGAAGGGCTTTAAGGATACGTGATTAATATTAAACATGTTGAAATGATATAAATTCAAAATAACACTATATTATAGGCTTTTAAGAAAAAATAAAATGGTAAAGGAGCATTTTATAACCAGGAAGATTAAAAAAAATAGATCATTGGGCCCACGGGACTCATATAAAACTTTAATTTGCTGTATCTAGTTTCAGAAGACCTCTAAAGTTACAGCCCTCATTAGTTTATGGCATGCTGGGTTTCTGTTTTACCAACTTTTTTTCCTTGAGCTCAACCACTGCCAAAACCGAGATGGAATTCTCAAGTAATTTAAGAGCTAGAAAGCATTTGAAACATACTCAGAGGAGTTGAGTTTGACAAATGAACTTTGCTTGTAATTAAAAAAACATGTGCTGATTCTTTCAGGACTGAAGAGACTTGTGCTTCCTGTAATAACTTCCTATAACTGTTTAGTATCTCATCTTTTTTTTTTTTTTTTTTTAAAGAATACATTATGCATTCATTCATAAAGCTTCCATCACAACATGGCACAATTCTGGCTTCCATAAAAACTCCTAATACTTTTTCTTTTTCAACCTCTTCCTCCATTCATATCCCTCTTACTGCAAAAGAAACCAATCCCTGTGTGCAGCACGCTATGCTGAACATCACATGGCATCCTACCTTGGCACACTCGGTGTGGTGTGCCCTCAGCTTTCATTATGCTCCCCCCCCACTGAATTGTTGATAACTCCAACAAAATTTTTACAAACGGTGTTTTCTGTTGCTTCAGGAATAGCAACACAACAGTTGAGCTCCCTCAGATCGGGCTGTGTGCATTTTCCACTGGACACTGGTTATAGCCAGCCCTGTGTCCACTGTGATGGATTCAGGGGAAATTTGTTACAGCTTCTCAAAAGCCTTCAGAACTGACCTCACATTGAGTTTCAATGTGGGAGACGTTTAGGCTTGCAAAAAGACCCACTTTTATTTTCTTCCATAGGGCTCTACAGAATTGCTGGGATTTGACTGCACAAACCTTCCGGCAGCAGCAGGGCCACTGCCTTTTCTTTCCTCAGCAATTCCTCACCATTTCATGTGAGCATGTGAAAAAATCTATGCTCTTTCTGCTTTTGTATCATTTTTCAGTGCAGCAGAGCTGGGTATTGCCTGAAAACGTCAGAGGCAATTCCGTTTTTTTTATAAAAGACTATTATGGCAAACTGTGGGAAACAAAAACAGCTGAGCAGGAGACAACATCCATGCACTCATATCAAACGTGCTTTCAAAGCAGCACAGAAAACCAAATCTGCATTGCTTTTGGTGGAGTCACTTAACCTCCAGGGACACAGTTGCTAGATTCTTTAGAAAATATAAAATATTGCTGTGAATGTTTCCGTAAGGTTTACTCAAAGTCCAGAACGCTCCCTGGCCCTGCAAACCAATGCATTCCTTGTACTGCTTGCAAAACTCCCCACTGTGCCCTAAGGAAAAGGCAAAGCCACGAGGTGGATGTAGTCACCAGGATGCATAAATTTGCTTCAATTTTACCAATTCTGTTCTCTTTGAATCATTTGTTTCCCAAATGGACTTTAATAGCCCAGCACTCGTCTGTCAGCAGTCTTATTTGACCGAATTTATAGAAAAAAGGGAACTTCTATTGTACTCTATCTTCTTTAACTAGCGCTTAACATTTATCCTGGCATCAACAATACATTGGGCACTGCAGGAGACTTCAAATTCATGGGAATGTGATGCAGCATGTCCACTCAGCAAGCAAAAAGTGAAAGACGAAAAAGGGTGTAACTTGCTCCATGAGACCGTTGCAGGTATTGACATCTCTGTGGAGCAACGGAGTGGTGAGAACATAGAGGAAAGAAAATTGAGTATTGTAAATTTGGGAACATGCAGGTTATAGAAGAAAAACCCAACCCAAATCCAGACCTTACGTAGACAGAGAATCTATCGCCCTATCTAGCTGCATTTATATGCCCCTAAGTGGAGATATTTTGAATAAAGGTAATACTAACACCGTTAAAATGCTTTAACTTTTCAAACTGTCTGAACCAGAGAAGCCAACTTTAGACCAAATTCATGTGAGGAAGTTATTTTTGCAGCCCCACAGTCACAATATAATGATCAGTGTTACCTGACAAACACAGTTACCACATCAGAAATCATCCTCTTCTGTCATGCATAACTACCCCAAGTTCATTAAGTCAGTAATCTGTTATGTTGGCAAAGCAAGAGGGAAGATTTAACAAGACGCTTCAACTGGGTTTTGACTTGATTTCAAAGGTTCCTGCTAAAAACCCCATGATCCAAATTCTCTTCGCACCAGCAAGCCGAAGTCAGGAGCGATGCCATTGTGCTTAACAAAATTATATCGGTGCAAAACTAATAAAAGATTTAGATCAGGCCTGGAGGGTTTAAACCACAGAGCACCCATGGTAAAATGGATGTGATACACAAACATGGCTTTGGCGAAGAGCAAGGTGGAAAAACACGTTACTGACAGTTTCCTAACATGAGAGGGCTCGTGTTGAAGCTTGTTTAACCCTGACCATCACCAATTGATACGTTAACAACCTTTAACACTAGATTCAATAAAACATGCCATTTATAACCTGAAATGGGTTTTACAGAGTCACTGGTTCGCATCTCATTATTAAACTCATTGCTGACCTCTAGAGACAACTGCCGTGACAATACATGTTATAAGCCTCTACCCATTAAAATATTTAAAAGTGTAGAAAAGAAAAGAGAAGAAAAGAGAAGAAAAGAGAAGA